TACCCAGACAGCTTCTATACATTTCTTTAATACTCTGCTTGGGTATTGCACCTCCCTCCGGGAAGCCTCCTTTGTATTTCCGTTATGCCTTGCTCATATCTCTTTGAGTACTTCTACTATTCAATTTTAAAAGTATCTTTTGGTGATACTTCTGTGTACGTTGATTAATATGATTGGTTGGTCAGTGGAGGGTGGTCCTCTTTTCTTACTTGACGGCCTGAGGATTGCCACTATCGTGAATGACCAGGAAGATCATGAACAACCATCCACTTCAGAGGAAAATTATAGCCATTGTGTCCTTCACTCTAGGAAGGCAACAGAACCAAGGACAGAACTTCAGCTAAAATTAGCAAAAAATGTGCAAAACTACACCAGATGTAGTCTTTGTATTTGGATTCAGAAACCATTTTGGTGGTGGCAAGACAACTCGATTTGACATGATCTGTGAGTCCTTGGATTATGCACACAAGAATGAACCCAAACACAGTTTTGCAAGATGTGGCCTCTATGATAGGGGAAAAAGACCTCAGGAAAACAGTGAAAGGAATACAAGAACATATTGAAGAAGGTCATATTGCAATGATCAATGGTGGTACTTGCCAAAAGCAAAAGGCATAAAGAGCATGCAATGATTTGATCTTCTGTGATGGCACAAATTCTTAAGGAGGGGACTAATAAACTGTAAAAACTTTTATTTTTTAATTGAATTTTTGCAATTTTCATACAATATAATTTGATGGTATTTAGATCCCTTCCCCTAGCCACACCACCACTTATTGGCCCCCACTCAATTTAAAGTACTCTATTATATATTTATAATAAGGTCTATAGAGTCTAATTTGTGTCCCCAAATGTACTTCAGTGTGGGTCCATCTACTGGAGCCTAGTTAACCTATCAAGAATCCCATGCTTGAAAGAGACTGTCTCTGCCCACCCAGCAGCAATTGGTTGCCACAATTTCCTTTGGTAGGGTTGTGGTTTCTTACTCACTTCCTCATATCTATGCTGGAATTTTTCTGATTTGAGCTTGCATGGAACTTATGCATGCTGTCAGAATTGCTGTGAGTTCATATGAGTAACTGACCAGATGTCTGGAATTCTCTGCTTCCTCATGGTCATGCACCACCTCTGGCTATTATAATCATTCCTCCACTTCTTTTGCAATGATTCCCGAATCTTTGGAGGCAGAAGTTTGCTATAGATGTCCTATTCAGGTATAAGCACTCTACAGCCTCAAGATACTTGAAAAGGAACAACAAATGAAACTCAAACCCAGCAGACAAGAAGAAATAACAAAACAATCAGAGCAGAAATTAATGAAACAGAAACAAAGAAAAGAATACAAACAATCAATGGATGCAAGAGCTGGTTCTTTGAGAAGACAAACAAGACTGATAGACCGCTAGCCCAGTTAACCAAAAGAAAGAAAGAGCGCCTCCAAATCAACAAAATCAGAGATGAAAGGGGAAACATCACAACAGACACCAAAGAAATCCGGAACATTATAAAAGAATACTATACAAACTTATATACTACTAAATTTGAAAACCTAAAAGAAATGGACGGGTACCTAAAGGCATGGGAACCACCAAAACTAAACCAAGACGAGATTTACAGCTTAAACAGATGCATAACGCAAAAAGAAATTGAAACAGTAATAGAAAGCTTCCAGACTAAAAAAAGCCGAGGACCAGATGGATTTACAGCAGAATTCTACCAGACATTTAATGAGGATCTACGTCCAATACTACTTAATTTATTCAAAAAGATAGAAATGGAGGGAGAACTTCCAAATTCCTTCTATGAAGCCAGCATCACTCTAATACCAAAGCCAGTAAAGGTATAACCAAAAAAAGGAACCTATAGACCCATACCCTTAATGAACATAAAGGCAAAAATTCTCAACAAAATATGTATTAGATAGATAGATAGATAGATAGATAGATAGATAGATAGACGATAGAGATAGAGATAGGGATAGAGATAGAGATAGAGATATATACTTTAAGAAGCTTCTGTAGTGGTAGGTTTCCTTATGGCTTTTTCTAAAGGCCTTTAGTTTTACTTATCCCTTGCTATACTTGCTCCTCTGCCCTGCTCTACCATTCCCCATCCTATTTAATCCTTCCTAGTCTAATGTTCCACTTTTCCTCTTTATAACACTACATTCTACCACCCTTCCCAGAATTTAAAACTACACATTTACAGCCAGATGTTTTCTGACAAAGGAGCCAAACTATACACTGGAAATAAGACTATATGTTCAACAAATGGGGCTAGACTAACTGGATAAGGGCGTATAGAGGTCTCTTGCCATACACAGAAAATAAACAGGATTTTCTGAACAGGACCCCCATAGCACCAGAATTAGGTCCAACGATTGACACATGGGACTACACAAAACTAAAACGCTTCTGTACATCAAAGGACACTATCATTTTAGTGAAGACGCAACCTACAGAACGGGAAAAAATATTTACCAGCTATACCTCTGACAGAGGGTTAATATCTAAAATATACAAAGAACTCAAAAAACTAAACATCAAAAAAAACCCAAACGACCGAATTAAAAAGGGGAAGAAGCTGAACAGCAAGTTCATCAGGAAAATGCATGTTAAAACCACTTTGAGATTTCATCTTACCCTTCTCACAATGGCAAAGATCCAAAACATTAAACAAATGTGGATGTGAAGAAAGGGATCTCTTATCCACTGCTAGTGGGAATGAAAACTGGTGCAGTCACTATGGAAATTACTGTGGAGATTTTTCAAAAAGCTCAATATTCAGGCCTGGAGAGATGGCTCAGCGGTTAAGACCACTGGCTGCTCTTGAAGAGGATCCATGTTAGGTTCCCAGCACCCATGTGGTGGCTCAAAATCATCCATAACTCCAGTTCCAGGGGATCCAATGCCCTCTTCTTATTTTTATTTTATGTGTATGAGTTTATTGCCTGCATATATGTAAGTGCACCTACACTGCAAAATGCCCACAGAGGTCAGAAGAGAGTGTTGGATCCCCTGCAACTGGAGTTACAGACAGTTGTTAGCCACCATGTAGGCTCTGGGATTCGAACCCAGGTCTTCTGCAAGAACATCCAGTGCTCTTAAACACTGAGCCATCTCTCAAGCCCAAATAATTTTTTTAAGTTCAAAATTCATCTACCATATGACCCAGTCATTTTACTTTTGGACATATATCCAAAAGACTACAGTAGTAGGCTACAGAAATACTTGTTCATCCATGTTCATGGCTACCCTTTTCATAATCATCATAACTTCGAAACAACCTACATGTCCATCAACTGATGAATGGATAATGAAGGTGTGGTACATAAATGCAATGGAATATTATTCAGTTCTTAAAAAACACAATTATGAAATTCTTCCTTAAATTAAAAGAACTGGAAAAAATCATCCTGAGTGAGGTAACGCAGACTCAGGAAGACAAATGTCACATGTCCTCTCTCATAGCTGGATGCTAGCTTTGAAATCTTAGATGTGTAAAAAAAAAATTTTAATCTTGATGTAAATCCGTCTCTCTCATTAGACTAAGAACTCTTGGATGTTTAAGTTTTTTTTTTTTCCCATTGCATCCAAAGATCTCACTTTACCTTAAAATTTTTGTATATTTTCTTGGACTTCTTCGGAACCCTCTATAGTGGCAAGAAGAGTAGAAAGAGACCACATGATTTTGTCTTTTTGTGTATGAATTTGTAGAAAGGAGATATGACCACATAATGGTGACTATGAATGTATTTGGAGGAAATGAAGTAACAGAACAAAAACATTTCAGAGCTTATTTTTAATAGTTTCATAATAGTCACCTGCTTTAAACCTCAAAACATATAATGGCTTAAACACAATAGATTTTCTCAGAAGTGTAACTTTTCAAGATAGATGTTCTTGGTCAGGAGGATAGTTCTTTTCCATATGGATACTGAGGGACATGTGCTCATAAAAGCCCCTCCAAAAAATGTGGAAAGCCATGTAGGTACACACATGAGAAACTACTATAGGCCAATCCTGGAAATGTCACATATCATTTCTCTTCACATTCCATTAATAAGAGCTTAATCACATGGGCAAGGATATGGGGAATTGTAGTCAACCCAAGTATTCAAGGAGGAGAAGAATGGTTTGACTGAAAATGCATGGTCTTTGTAGACATAATAGTAATAGGTTACTTTGTCTTAGATGTTAGGTAAGTGATCAAACAGGTTTCTGTCCTGTATACTAGTATGCTACATGCTGTCGCTCTGTTAATCTCTCCCACAGGAAATTTGAATAGTCAAATGTAGGCAGTATTTAAAATCATGGATGACAGCTGAGCTCCCTATTGAGTCACTTACCAGGAAGTAGCAGCTGGAGGGTGACTTATAATGCTGATGAGTCCCTAATTATTAATCACTGACACTTTGTAGATTGCCTTAAGTCAGATCCCAGCTGGGTTAGTATACAATATTATAATGTTGGTCCCCAAATATTTTTCCTATGTTACATGTCTAGGCTAGAAAGGGTGTTAAATAAATGGTAAAGCAGTAACTTGATTCATTGCAAACCAACCAAGAGACACTCGAAACAAAATGGGGAAAAGGCAAAATTAAAGAGAGAATTCATTTCCATTTCAAACCATAGCCACAGGCATGGACGTGTTCTCTGCCAGTTTGTGTTTCCCTAAACAGAACATACATTTGATGATGACCTCATGAAGGCTAAGGGAAGAGTAGAAATAAATTATTTTGAAATGAAAATTTTCATGATTCTCAGCTAAAATTTTTTGGAAATCTTGGAAAACCACTGCCTTGGCTCTACCCTCCCCTACCTCCAATACCTCTAAGTCTGTTTGCCATAGGAACTGGGAATCTGGATATTTTCTTAATGATTCTCAGTCTCCTCTGTAGATCAGTCATAGAGCTGCTTTCTGGGGGCAGGCTATAAATAGAAGTATTGTACATACTGATTTCTTCCTGAACATCTTAATTTGTTCTCTTTATTTCACAGTTTGTTGCCCAGCCCAACTGCCAACAGTTGCTTGCCACCCTGTGGTACGATGGCTTCCCTGGATGGCGACGAAAACACTGGGTAGTCAAGCTTCTAACTTGTATGACCATCGGGTTCCTGTTTCCTATGTTGTCAATAGCCTATCTGATCTCACCCAGAAGCAACCTTGGGTTGTTCATCAAGAAACCGTTTATCAAGTTCATCTGCCACACAGCATCCTACCTGACCTTCCTCTTTATGCTTCTCCTGGCTTCTCAACATATCGTCAGGACAGACCTCCATGTCCAGGGACCTCCACCAACTGTTGTGGAATGGATGATATTACCTTGGGTTCTAGGTGAGTGAAAGGTAACAGCAGTAATGACTAAGCTGCCTTCTAGTCCTAGCTAAAGAAAATACTAGCTCTGAACTCGGGCAACTTCAGTAGGCCTTTATTGAGAATCTAAGAAATGTAGTACCTTCTGTCCCGGGCCGTGGTTATACAATACTTCCTGGGCCACTGTGAGACCCTAACATTTCCTACGCTGAAGCATTGGCTGTAAGTAGATTTATAGGAAAAAGCCAAGTGATAATACAGGTTTCAGGTAAGCCACACAGAGCAAGAACTGAGTATTCTCTTCAAAGTCCACTTTCCCACAACCAGGACACACAAATTCTGCTCCTTTCTTATGTTTGTGACTACATCATATACTTTTACCTCCTGTTCAGGTTCCACATTGCTATTTGGATACTGATGCCACAGTCAGCAGAGACACCTGGGAAATTCATTCAGGCCGTGATACAAGCAAATCTACAGGTGGTCAAAGGCATAATTAGATAACACTAGACTGGCCAATACATAACATGCTCTAACTTCTTGTCTCTGAAACTATGAACCCCAAGCCAGCATTATCAGCATTACTTGGGAGTTTCTTAGACATCTTAAGCCCCATTTTTCATCTAGAGGTTAGCATCATCCCCAGGTGATTCACATTTAAAGTTAGAGGAGTAATGCCCTTGACCCTTGCTACATACTTTAACTGAAACATCTGTGCCATCAGGCAAAATTCCAAAAAATAAAACTCCATATAATCAGGGGATGAAAGAGAAAATTATTTGGGGCCCCAATGCCTAGCTTCAGTCTGAACATCTGGCAGTTTGGTCCCTGGTCAGCTTCCTCACATCAAAATTCATGGAAAACTTTTCTCTCTAGTACCTAGTGTAAAATAGGGACCATGAGATAATATCAGTGAAATCCAATTACTGATTAAATTACACGCCAAAGTAGGAAGACTACAGAATCAGGTGCCTAAAATTTAAAGACAAAATTTCAACAGCATCCCATTAAAAAGAACAAAATGACCAATACATATTTTAGAATGTGTTCATCGCTCTTAGCTATCAGGAGATGAAAAGTAAATCCACTTTGAGATTTCATCTCACCCCAGTCAGAATGGCTATCTACCATCAAGAAAACAAATGGCAACAAATCCTGGTGAGAATGTGGGGCAAGGGGAGACTTATTGCTGGAAGGAGTGTAAACTAGTGTAGCCACTAGGAAATCAGTACGGAGGTTTCTGAAAAAAAAAAACTAGAAATAGAACTATACTACAGTATAGTCCCAAAGGATTCTATATCCTACCATGGAGATATCTGCACATCCATGTTGATTGCTGCAATATTCACAATAGGAAAGAAATGGAAATACACACACACACACGAGAGAATTTTGTTCAACTGTAAATAACAATAAAATTATAAAATATGGAAATAGAAGGATCTGGAAATTATTATATTAAGCAAAGTTACCTAGACTCCAAAAGAAAAATATTCCATGTTCTCTTATAGGCAATTCCTAGCTTTTACTGCTCATGTATATATACATAAGTATGTATCTATGTGAACGTAAGTGTGGGTCTATGTCATGCAAGTAGAAAAGGGGCCATGAGAAGGAGAAAAAGACGTGTTGGAAATGAGGATGAAAAATAGAACATATGTGACATGAAGAGGGAAAGGAAGCTTCTAGAACTGGAAGAGTATAAGGGAGGAAGATGGATAGGTGAGGAGAGGGACAGGGTCAACAAAAACTGGGTTTTATTTTGAAAACACTGAAAAATGCTGATTTTTAAAATTTAAAAAGAATCAAAAATTTAAAATGAGTAGTACCCAGAAATACATAATGTATGGGCATCATCAGGAAGTCTACCAAGTTTTATGAGTTCAACACTGGGAGAGGGTAACAAAGAAAGGGGAATTAAATGATCACTATCTCTTTAGGCCTCACCCTAGTTCATTCATAACTTATTTCTTTATTCATTTTGGGGGGCTCCTGCTGTGGTGTCCAGCACTGCCTTTATGTAGAAATAAACGTTTTGCCTCCATTCTTCAGGTTTCATTTGGGGGGAGATTAAGGAAATGTGGGATGGTGGATTCACTGAATACATCCATGATTGGTGGAACTTAATGGATTTTGCAATGAACTCCCTCTACCTGGCAACTATTTCCTTGAAGATTGTGGCCTATGTCAAGGTAAAATGGAATGCCTACCATTTTTCTTCAGTAATTATTTTGGTTATATCAATAAAATTTTGCACTGGAAACAGAAAGAGTTCATGGGAGAACTAATAATGACTGTCCCGTCCGTGTGAGAAAAATACTAAAGCGACTCTCTTTCGGTGGTCTGTAAGCATTATCTACCTAAACAAAGAAAATGGAGAATGGACCATTTTGCCAATGAATCATTAGATTTTTAGACTCTCAAGATAGAGAGAAGGGTCTTCAGACTTCATTGCTTAAATGCCTATAATGTTCTTTCCAAGAAGATAGCACATTGAAGCTTGGGTACAGTAAGGAGTTTCCTTGCCATAAATTCTCCATTTCCAAAATCCCCTCTTAAACCAGGCATGGTAGTGCAAGCTTTTAATACCAGCACTTGGTAGGCAGTGGCACGATGATCTTTGTGAGACTGAGGTCAGCCTGGTATACATGCAAGTTCTAGGCCAGCTGGGGCTACAGGGAGACCCTGTCCACCCCTCCCCCCAAAAAACCCCCAAAAGAAAGTTTCTCTTAATCCTTATCACTTTATTAAAAAGAATTAATTTACGCGGGCGTGGTGGCGCATGCCTTTAATCCCAGCACTCAGGAGGCAGAGGCAGGTGGATCTCTGTGAGTTCAGGACCAACCTGGTCTACATAGTGTGTTCCAGGACAGCTGGGGCTACAGGGAGACCCTGTCTCAAAAAGACGCCCCCCCAAAAAAGAATTACTTTATATTTGCCCAATATTATTGTTCCCATGTCACATTCATTAGGATCAAAGTTGTCCCATAAAAGTACTTCTGGTATAGAGTTCTCTCTCCCTTACCTAGTGAGTCATTACTTCACAAACCAAACATTCCCACTTCCCTTACACATTCCTCATATGTTAAGGAGCAGAATGCCAGAAACTACACTATAGGACATGCAGGTCTCTTATAGCCTCTGCTTCCTCTGTTACTTCTTCCACCAGGATAATCATTTAAGCAGTTAGAAATCCAACTTTCTTAACATCGCTAATCTATGTGTCTCTACCATTTCAGAAAATGTATATACACAGGCACACCACCACTAGGCTAATACTTTCCCCATGCAGGAACATTTTGAATTGTCCTAAAAGTACATTTAAAATATACAGAACTTGGATTTTTAATGATAATTTGTAAGTGGGTAGAATCTGGTCTTCTTGTCCACAAAGCTGCAACAAGTCTATGATGTCTTACCCCAAGCAGAATGAGACAACTACCGTAAGGTAAAGTCACAAGAACCATTCAGTCAGCCCCTTTATTTGGGGAATTACAGGTTCTGAGTTCGGGTTTCATACTTAATAGAATGTATGCTGCTGCTGCCGAGTTGGACTTTTCCCCCATGACGGGAGGATGACAATTCATTCTCGGGTAGATTGTCTAGTCAGTCATGCTTCTTGGTATGAAATTCCACATTACAGACTTTTAGAATGGGAATCTGGCCATCCCCCAAATCTCCAACATCTTAGTGTATTTTTACATCCCTAATATGCATATTGCATAAATTCTAAGACCTTGTGAGTTATATAGAGCATGAGTACTGAATGCATTCATGAAACATTTTTGAAGGGAGCCCAAGAGTATGCCTTATTCATGTGGTGATCATTTAACACGTACTTACAACTTCCTTAAAAGAAAAGGCTAGAGAGGAAAATGAATCTCTTGTGACATGCCTGGGTGAACTCCACGTCATTCTGGTACTCTGCTGACTAAGTAACACGGTTTTCCTTTAAAAATTACATTGTATGCATGTGTAAAATTTTCAAAGGATTAATAAAATACTGCAGTAATGAATTACAATAATTATTTACTTTCCTCCTTTACAAGTGGAGAAACAATAAAATATCAATCTTGAAATTACTAGGCTCTGTTTAGCCAAGAAAGTTTAGAATATATGCTGAAGAAAACGATTGACATGTAGGGATATGAAAATATCGGCAGATGCTCAACATGAGCTAATCACATAACTTGTCCAGTTTCACTGGTGAGGCTCCCAAGGTGCTAGATGCTTCCTCCATCACAAGGAATAATAAATGCACTCTAGTAAGCTGGTACACTTCCCCGTCTCAACCCTCTAATGAAACAAGTAAAACATGCCACATGCAGAATTTAAATTTTTTTCAGTGAATACTTGTACGTGAATAGAGTGTGTTCCTCTCAGAACACACTCAGAACACACAGAGGTACTACCAGTCCAGAGTTTCCCCTAACCAACACGAGACACCTACTACAGTTGAAGTTACAAGAAACACTCCACAGGCCACTTGGAATATTTTAAGTCCCTGTTGTTCTGAGGCAATATGGGAATGCTGTGAGCTAATTTGGTGCCTTAAAAATATTCCTTTATTTATTTACTTTTAATTGCGTGGGGTTACGTATGTGGTATATGCATGTGTGTATACATGTATGTATACAGATGCACTTGCCCATATGTACACATGTGGAGGCCAGAGATCAAGTTTGAATGTCTTCCTCTATGGTTTTCCACCATATTTTTTGAGACAAGGTCTCTCACCACACCAAACCTGGAGTTCACCAGTTTACTTATACTGACTAACGAGTGAGCCCCTGGGATCCAGGTATCTGCACCCCTGCCCCACCCCAACACTGGGGTTATAGCTGCATGCCTTTACACTGGTGTAAGGAATCCAAACTCAGGTCCTCACGCTTGCACAGCAAGCACCTTCATTACCCACTGAGCCATCTCTTCAGTCTTAGAATTTCCTTTGTTTCAGTGAAGCATTAGTTAACACTATATGCTTCATTTCATAGACTCTAAGCAAGAGGCAAAGTAACAAAAAAAGAAATATACATATGATTGATCCTCAGTACCACCAGATAACCCTGCAAATGAAGAGTAGTCAGTTTTGTCTGCCAGGATAGCACCACTTAGCTCTATCCCTCCACCATCTCACTCCATACACACACACACACACTAAATCTGAACTTTATTACTCCCAAGTTGCAGACATTTTTTCAGTGTTTACTTGACTACAGACACAATCACCCCTTCAGTTTCCTAATATTATTGATTCCCCACATTAGGCTGTCCCTCTTCAGATTTTGCTTTTGGGTCAACAGAATGCCATTCACACCCTTTGAAAGGAAGTGTGGCCAAGTTTCAAACTGCGTTCCAGATCGAAGGATATAAAAAACTCATTTACTTCCCCACACCACTAATCTAAGCTTCTGGAGACATGAATTTAATCCCTACTTTCACACTTGTGAGTTGGAGTACCACCAGCCAATCCTGCTTCCTCTCAGTGGTCTATAAGCCAAGTTTCGCTTTATGCCTTATCCATTTGTCTACATATTGTTATGCCTGTTTTAGTGCTACAAAGAAGTGTTAAGCAGTTGCAGGGATCACATAGCTCACAAAGTGAAAAGTGCGCACTGTCGAACGGGGCATGGTGGTGCACACCTTTAGTCTCAGCACTCAGGAGGCAGAGGCAGGTGGATCTCTGTGAGTTCAAGGCCAGCCAGGTCTACATA